GTAGCTGGTTCGTACGTGGTATCGGAAGTTGATGTTAAGAGCTACGGTTCGACCGTGGCTTCGGAACGTTTGATGTAAGAGCTGGTTCACGTGGCTCGAAAGTTTGATGTAAGAGCTGGATCACGTGGCTCGAAAGTTTGATGTAAGAGCTGGATCACGTGGCTCGAAAGTTTGATGTAAGAGCTGGATCACGTGGCTCGAAAGTTTGATGTAAGAGCTGGTTCACGTGGCTCGAAAGTTTGATGTAAGAGCTGGTTCACGTGGCTCGAAAGTTTGATGTAAGAGCTGGATCACGTGGCTCGGAAGTTTGATGTGAGAGCTGGTTCACGTGGTATCTAATTTTTTATTTTGATATTTCTTTATATAGATCTTTGACATTTCCACTTCTAATTTTTCCATAAGTTCTAAGAATTACTAATGTAGTTTTCTTCTGTTAACGCTGTGGTTGTTTGACCCGCTCCGGGTTCAATAAGACTGTTAAAGGTAATTCAAAAATAATAATAATAAAATAAATAACTGATGTTAAAAATGAAATAACTAAATAATATATTTTTAATATTTACCTAAAAATCTGATTTATAAGTGACTTAAATTGATAATAATTACATTTCACTGACTTAATCATTTAACATGATAACAGTCGTTGTTCATAAAAAAAATTGATAATACAAATAGCGTCTCGACCACTAGTATATCTATCGTATCTCAGCCGGCCTGGTAAACCCTCTTATTAAGCAAAACGGCTCGTCGGCACTGGATATGCCAGATGTAATGTGGTTAACATATTCTCCTTTTTCACTATATAAGCTCTGAAAATTTCGTATAATTACTTGCTTGTAAAATATATAGAAGTTCTTCACTCCCCAGTATATTTTCTTTAATTTCAGCTTTGCACTTTATTCATTTCAATTATAAGTTTCTTATATATTATTATTAATTTTTCCCTATATCAGTGCTATTTTATATATAATATTTTTACACTGAACACCTGCTGTCACCATTCTGACCATGCTTCACTATGACTTAGTCTTTAAATGTCAATTAATACCGATTGAATTTTTTTTCGTTATGAGCACAGTTACAAGACTTTCACAATAAAACTACTTTCCTGTTTCCTTTTAGCTGAGATCCTATACGTTTAAAAAGTAGACATACTTTCATGCCGAAAATGATATATTAGTGGATATAGAATGAAATTTGATGTGCCGCATGTT